CGCGCATGGTGAATAATGCGTTAACGTATTTCCATCTTTACAGTATGTGCGCGGAATATAAGTGGGAAACGTCGCGGGCAATATCGTTCGCGCGAGTGAGTTCGGTATAAACGGCGAGTCTCTTAGAAAATATCTTACGAGACGTCTCACGGCAAAAATGCACTTTTCACGCGACACGACACGTCGTCGTCATCGTCGTCGTTCGCGCGTCGTCGCAGTCGCAGTCGCAGTCGCAGTCGCTACGATGATGCTTTATTCATTATTGTGCCGCTGCGGGCGCCGGCGCGTAAGAATTCGATATCTGAGGATTTGCTCGAGAGGCACCCCCCCCCGCCCTCCCCCGACAGTGATAGAAATCGTCCTGATACCGTCTTGTCGTGCGAATAGCGGTGAGTTATTTGCAGGAAGCCGTTCGGCTGGACGGAGGAATAAAGGGTGAGCGTAGACGGAGTGACGGAAATTACAATAGACGTATATAGTTGAGAGGGCGGGAGAGAGAAGGGCCGACGTGGATGACTGTTCAGGTGGGGCCGAGAGGAGAGAGAATAACCGCGGAGGCGGAAATCGTTGTTAGCCTAGAAGCGCGGCCGGATTTGGATATCAAAGGCTCTCGTCCGCGGTCGAGATAACGTGCTATTGACGTTATCGGAGACAAAGAACCGCGAACATACAAGGGCGCGCCCGCCCGCATTTGCCCGGCGCTAAGCGTGACTAAACTGATCTCTCGATATCTCAAATGTTACATTGATATTAAAACTGATAAAACTCGGACGCGCGTGACTTGCGCGTAGTGTTTTTTTTTTACGCGCGCTAACGCGTTCTCTCTCTCTCGCAGACGCGCGAGAGAGCTTCCCTCGACTGTCAGATTGCCGGGAGGGTTTATACTATTATTTTCTCTTATGTCGTTGTTTCCCCCCCCCCCCTCCCCCCTCTTCCTCTATCCCGTTGCGCCAGCAGACTGTCACTTTTTATCCGCGCTCCACTTGTGCGTTAGCGCTGATTTCCGGAGACATCGCGTCAATATATTCCGAATCTTCTCGTAAAGACGCTTCGATTCTCGCGAATTGCCTCGCGTGTCTTCGGTCGAGGCAGACGGTGAAGAAGCTGATATTGCTCTGATATGAAGTTGTATCGATATTGCAGCGCGGAATATTACGGAAGGTCGTTAGAAAAATCGGTAGCGACCGGAGTTAACGAGGAAGTAATGCGGGAGATCGAAGGGGATGAGCTGAAACTTGTCTTGGGCCTTGAATGAGCGGGAATCGCGCAATGAATGAGCGTGCACGCGCGCGCGCGCTTCTCATTAATTGACCCGAAGGAAAATAGCGTCGGCGCGCGCGTCAACATTTCGTTTTCTTCCACCCGCCCTTCCCCCGAGTCTCTCCCCGCGAGAAAAGAGTCGCGTTGGTCAGGAACAAGATAATCCAATTTAACGAAGATTAACGAGCCGTCCGTCGACGTCGCAGTCGCGACGACTTTATATCGTGAATGCCGTCTGTGCTGAGTCTCGGTCACGTCTCACCGTCGGCAACGGTGAAAATATACACGTCGTCGGGGACGAAGACAGAAAAACTATAAAGCGCAAAAGGGACGCGGCGGAAATTATGGTTGCAGCGAATAGAGACGGTGAAAGAGAGACGGCAGGCGCGTTGTTGTTTGGTCGACGGAGCGCGCTGCTTGTTCGCGGCGATGTATCCTGTTATCGATGTGAATCGGTCTTCGTTTTCCCGTATGCGTCCTAAGGGTCGAATAGACATTCGCCGATAAAATCAGTTGGTATGTACACAAGGCGGAGCTTTCGCGCGAGCGGAAACAGAAAAAGGCATATCGAAGTGCGCGCGAGTGTCCGATAAAAGACGGCGGAAAGAGTGAAAGAGACGGAGAAAGAGAGGGAGGACGAAGCAGAAGGAGTCTCTGTATGCTTTGAAATAGTCTCGGAGGTAAACGAAACGATAGGAATCTGTAAGTCTGGCGGCCGACAGGTCGGCCGATATCGGAGTCCGTTCGCGAGAGAATCGTGCAGATTAATGCAAGTACACGGCTTGTGACGTTCGTATTTCACTGCCAATTTCCGACTGTTTCTACTTTTCCACATTCCTTCGCGTTCTATCGATATTTGTGGCGATATTTAACTTCAGCGGGCCTTCCCGCGCTTGTGCTTTGATATGTATCATGCGCGCGCGCGCATTTGTTGAGCATTTCTTGCCGTGTATAATCTATTTCTCTTCATACTCGCCACGCTTGTCTCTCCACTTTTGCCCGTAATACGTACAATATAATTTGTGCGTATCAAGTTAATGTTGTGAGTCCGTAATGCAATGTCTCTTAACGAGCTCGACAAACTTATTGAATACCAGGAAGGAAGAAAGGGCGCGAGAGAAATGTATCCCGCTGAAGGAAGATTTATGTCGTTGCCCAGCGAAGAGAAAAATAACGAAGAGAAGAACGCGAATGTCGTGCGAGAAGCTACGTTCTGTGACACGGTTCAGAAAAAGCACTCTCTCGCGCGCGCAAGTTTTCTTCTCTCGTTCGGCTTACATAGCTTGCTTACCAAGAGAATCGCGATAGTAAGAAGGTTAAGGTAACACGATGGATCCCTCCCTCTTTCCCTCACTCTCTTCAGCTCGATCTTAGCCCGGGTAAAGAAGAGCGCAACGAGACTCTCCGGCAGTTGGTTTTATTTTCCTCCGATGACACATCGATGACTCCTCGAGTGGCGGACAAATTGAATTACGCGAAGGCCCTCGACAATCGCATTAGTCGTCTAGAGCGGGAAGTATCCGCAATTTACTTTTATGAAGTTTCGCGCAGTATACGAGTCATATGGCGTCGCAATAATCCGCTCTAAAATTTCTGGATCGCTCCGTGAAACGGACTAAAGGGGGCAGTCTCCTCGCCGCTATATCCAAGCCGTATAATGAATACTGAAAACGATGATGGTCACTTGTTTTCCGTCACGAAGTAAACTGATGAAAATGCAAACAGGCACTGCCAATGTTGGCGAATAATCGGCTGATGAAAAAAAGAAAAAAAAAACAAAACGCGTGCACCGGTATATAATAGAGGAAAGAGCGAGTTACAGAGAGTGTAAAACTCGCGAGTGTGTAAAGATTCATCCCGATTCCTGCAAAATTGGAACACCGGCGAGTGGTATATTGAGTTATTTTCACATTCGCGTATCTACTAATTCCCCCACCGATCACTCTCTCTCACGCGCGTTCATTCCGTTTCCCTCTGCGGTAAAAAATCATACATATTTCATATAACAGCGGAGCGTAGCCGTGCGGCATTGTTTACGGGGAAAAATCCGCGGGTATAAATTCGGAAACAACGTGGACTGGACTGTCGCGCGCTGCGGGTTACATCTGACCGCGCGCTCGCGTGCGGAGAAAATCCCGATTCCGCTTTACAAGCTCGTTCGCAGCAGCGTGTCGCCGCCGCGCGTTCTCCTTGTCTGGCGATTGCTCCGACGCGTCGCATCGGCCGCTAGAATAAAACTACCAGCGGCTCTCTCGCCGGGCTCTCTCGCTATTTCGACGGGTTGGGACAAAGCGGGTCGCTGTCGGGAGAAAGAGCCGCGCGAAGGACCAGCAAGCGGGGAAAAAATCGGGCGTCCCATGCAATCGTCGGCCGGAGGCGTTTGCGAGTTTCAACGACGTCCGGCCGGAGCGTTAATTCACTTTAATCCTTCGCCACCGCCATTGCCATCGCCGCTGTGCCGTGCCGTGCCGTGCCGTGCCGTGGCTCGCGATCGAGCGCGTAAATCGTCCCGAATCGCCGGCAAGTGCCGGCGCAGCGCTCGAGCTGGCTGGTTTTCCGGTACCTTCATTGTTCCTCCCGGAAACAAAACAGGCGTGCACGTTGATATGCGTGCCGCGGTACACAATGCGACCCGACCGCCGGCCTCCGATGCATCAGTGGTGAGCCGCGCGTTCTTCGCGCAGAATCAATCGATAAAAAGAGTCGGAAGGAGAGAGATTGGGAAGCTATAATCTCTTGCGCGAGAACGAAAGAGGAGCCGCCGCCGCCGGTAGGCTGCGGTAAATTCCGCGACGGCGCATGGACACTGCGAGTCGGCAGGCCGGCATTCTCCCCGATAAGCTCAAAATGCGCGCACGCTGAAGCTGTCCGATAATTGATTTTTAATCCTACCCGCTGATCCTTGAAATCGAAGCTCATTAGCCCACGGCGCCACGGCGCCGCGTCGCCGCTCGCTCGATTGACGTTACGTTCGCGTCGTTGCACTTGCACAGTCGCGAAGGTTCAAGCTTAGCAAAATGCGTCATTCTAGCGGATTCTCTTTGAATCGACGTAGACGCGGGCCGTTTTGTACGAAGAAACCATCCGCTATCACCGTGCCATCACCGTGAGAGCACTGGCTGCAGCAATTGGGTTACTTCTCGGGTATTATACTGTTCTCGTGCATTACTGTGATACATACTTTGTCCGCGCGGGCAGTACGGAAAGTATAACGTGAGCTTTTCCGTTTTGTATCGAACGCTACCGTATATCCTTTCGCTCTGTAATCACGAGCCCTTGTCGTTGTTTCGGGAGAAGCTGTACCTGGAAAAACACTGTCTCCTTTTCCCCATATTGATCTCGCACGAATGTGCGCGTGTTATTTTCATATTTAAATTCATTGTTTCGTACGTGTAAATGCTTTTTCATTTCTCGGTCCGTATAACTGCTTTGTAACGTGTATTTTTTTTCCAATTTTATATTTAATGAATAAATGAATGGTATATTGTTCTATCGGAAAATAATATATAATATAAACTCGATAGTTGTGCGGAACATAAAGGGCTAAATTGGGATTTTTATTGTTAACCATCGCGCACTCGCGGACAGCTTTGCTGATGCGCTAGAAGGGAAATAATAATTTAAAACACTTTTATATGGAGGATTTCTGGCTTCTCAAGAATCCCCTCGTTCGTTGATTGATTTCTTTCATTTACTTATTCTCTTTCTTCCTTCTCCGTCACAACACACAGTAGAATGACTTCTTTTCACGTTCCAACCTTTTATTCATCTTCTTCGAATTTGAAATTGCAATATTACAATTGGCATTTTGTTTGCGTGTGATACTAAATTCGTATTATTTTCAAGGAAGCTTGTAGCTTTTGTATTTGAAAACATTCTGACATACCAAAATATCTCTTTTATATATTTACGCGTTTTACATGACAAAATCTAAAAAGCTCGGTCCGTGTATTTTTAATGTTTCTATTACACAGGAAACGCACGTTTAAAAGTTGATAGCTGCAGTTCGTACGTCGTTTCATAGTATGCGCTTGACCAAAAACTTTGTTTCTATCAAAATAGTAAAATATTTTATCTGCTGCCGTCGTGCGGGAGACCAGGTTGCGCGAATTTCTCGTACACGGGATGTCCTACAAATTGAAAGTTTTACGGCTTCAACTAAACCCCGCACGGAAAAACATTGTGCGAAGATTGCGCCACCTTCACGATTGTGCCACATGCACGCTCCGCGGAAAGTACATATAAAATATATATTTTATGTCGCTTCTTATCATAATAGCGCGAACATGCGATCACCTTCGTCATCACTTTCACCGATTGCGTCATTTGAAAGAATAGCGAAATTTTAAAGCTTATATTTAGTTCCACTGAATTATCCAAATATATTAAATAGAAATATTTGTATATACATATGTGTCCACACGTACATTTTCTCTCTATACATATACTGATTACACACAAACATAACAATATGTAATCAGTTGCTGCACATGTGGAAGTATAAAAGTCGCTCCTTTAGATAATACTGGAATAAATGTGGCAGTATTACTCGTTTTTATTGTCCAGTGAGACCTGAAACAATTTTTCACGCGTCTTACTCGCTCTTTGCCCCAACGTTTAACCGTCGCCACGACGTTTTTACGTTACCGGAAAAAGAGATGTGGCGTTTACTGAAAAATTAGACTTGTTAATCTTTTTTACTTCCGTCTTCCTCTCAGTTTTTCTTACTTAAATATTTCATCGTGCGCACATGCGGGAAATCCCCCTCAGCTGTCTGACGTTTCTCAGATTCGCATATAACATCTGGAGTGGAACATACATAAAAGGGAAGAAGACAAAAATATCGTATCAAAGATAACAACGTGATTGTTATTTCGGAAATATTCGCGCGCAATGATACTCAAGAGAAAACGGAAAGAGAACTACTTGTGACAGAGATAAAATGATCGAAGAGTTACGTACAGCAGGCCTATACGGCTCGCGAATGATTCCATAACGACATTTGCTTCGCCCCTCGTCGGCAAGTAAGTTGCACATTGCGGCGGTGCGCAGGCGGTGCGTCTTCGCGATCTGCTCGCCGTGTTCCCGACGCGAGCGCAAAGTATGTACAGACTGTTGTACGCGTATACAGACGAGCATAAGTAATCGCCATCGTTGGAAAGTCCTTCGTGTCGAGAAGAATGGCCGACGACAAGATCACGGCGGTGAGTTCGCGCCGCATTCTGCGCGAAGCGCGGCGCGTCTCTTTCTGTCATATCGCGACAGTTTGGTTCTGCGAGCTCTCATCGTCCCTGTTCCTCCTGCGTTGCAAAAGCTCCTGGATCTCGCGGAACGTCCGACCCTTGGTCTCGGGCACGACGAATATCACCATGAGGAATGCCAACAAGCACGAGCTCGCGAAGAAATAATAAACGGCGTGCGCGCCCAGTAGGTCGCCGATGACTTGATACAGTTTGGAGACTGCGAAGCCGAGCACACCGTCGAAGACGGTGATGATAGCGCCGGCGAACGCCTTCACCTCGGTGGGAAAGAGCTCGCCAATGAGCGCATTCGGCAGCGTGCCCAATCCGAGCTGAAATGCCACCTGAAAGGCGATTACGTCGACCACCGGAAGCAGATTCGCCGCGGAGACGTCGACGCCCCTGCCGTCCAGCATGAGGTATATCGCCAGGATGGCGAGGGTAATGGAGGAGCCCAGAGTGGAAGCAATCAGCAGCGGACGTCTACCCGCGCCCTCGACGGTCGCAGTCGATAATCCTCCCGAAACGAGGCCGACCGCGAGCACCAGTATCGTAGCCAGGTTGGAGTCGATGCCGATAGCAGCTTTCTTGAAGAGCACTTCGAGGTACTGCATAGTGCTGAAATTTCCGCTAAGCTGCTGCGCCGCCACCAGGCCCAGTATGATACCAAGCGCTCGGGCGTTGCTGGGTAACAGCATCAGCTTGAGTTTACCGATCCAACTGCGTTTGACCGGCTCGGTCCTGGCGCCGGGTCCGATTACGGGAATGTTGTCGCGGATGTCTTCGATGAAGACACTACGGAGAGCCACTTCCAGCTCCCTACGGGCCTCGTCTCGATCGCGGATTCCTTTGAAGAAGGCCAGGGATTTAGTCGCCTCCGCTTTGCGGCCCCTGGCCGCGAGGAAAGCGGGTGTCTCGGGGAACCAAGAGAAGCACGCCACGAAGAGGATCGGTACAGCGAGCAGTATGGCGGCTAATGCCCGATAAGACACCCAGGGACCGATGCTGCAGGTCAGTAAGGAGCCGGTAAACACGTTGACGGCGATCAAGGTGCCGAGGGCACCGCGGATTCCAACGTCGGCGACCTCCGACACATACATGGGGTTGGTCGTGTACGAGATGCCCACGCCTACGCCGAGGATCACCCTGGAGATGTAGAGCGCCGGGACGCTTTGGGCGAAGAGTACGACGGTCCAGCCGATCATGAAGAAGCCGCTGGCTAACAACAGACATTTCTTACGGCCGTATCTGTCGGCGAGACTCGCTCCGAGGAACGGGCCGATCATAGAACCGATGACGGTCAACGACACTATCCAAGAACCCTCGTCGTCGGTAATCCTCACCGGCACGTCGCTGGCGCCGGATGTGAGCCGGGAGAGCGACGTGGTGGTCCATCCGTAAACGGTGCCGACCGCCACCATCGATAGAGTCGCTGTAAAATGACGATTGGTCGAGGATGAATGGACGATTGGGAGCGTCGGGTTATCATTATAGAGACGCGCGCGACATCTCGCGAAACCTGACAAACCTGATATGCATGCCAGCCATTGCCTCCATTGCGTCCGTTTGCTGTCACGACGCTTCTCCGGCTCGGGCGAGGCTTGAATTACGATCTCCCCCTTTGATGAGGTTTCTTTCAGGGTGCCGATCTGCGGTAGAAAACGTGCCATTGATCGTTTTGGAAAAGGCGCTTTCTCTCTGCTTGCAGCAGGCGCCCCTACTTTTTCACTTTCTCGACTTTAACAGTTTTATCCGCTGGTCAGGGTATTCACGAATTCTATTTATAAACAGAGTAGATGAAACATTGACTTGACTACAAACGTCAAGATCATGACATTCTTGTTATTAACGCGACGCACAAAAACTTGTTCTATCGGGTGAATTCGGTCGGCGGGTGTAGGGTTCAAATTAGCGACATGTGTTGTGTTGTTGTTGTTGTTGAAGCGTAAATCTCCTCGCGCATGACAGGACATAGAAATCTTTTCTGGAGCGGGGAAGCAACAGGTGACAACGAATGATAACGTCGTAGATTAATGTGAAATGCAAAAAGTGAAGTGAAAACTATATGTCTCTCTCTCTCTCTCTCTCTCTCTCTCTCTCTCTCTCTCTCTCTCTCTCTCTCTCTCTCTCTCTCTCTCTCTCTCTCTCTCTCTCTCTCTCTCTCTCTCTCTCTCTCTCTCTCTCTCTCTCTCTCTCTCTCTCTCTCTCTCTCTCTCTCTCTCTCTCTCTCTCTCTCTCTCTCTCTCTCTCTCTCTCTCTCTCTCTCTCTCTCTCTCTCTCTCTCTCTCTCTCTCTCTCTCTCTCCTCTCTCTCTCTCTCTCTCTCTCTCTCTCTCTCTCTCTCTCTCTCTCTCTCTCTCTCTCTCTCTCTCTCTCTCTCTCTCTCTCTCTCTCTCTCTCTCTCTCTCTCTCTCTCTCTCTCTCTCTCTCTCTCTCTCTCTCTCTCTCTCTCTCTCTTCTCTCTCTCTCTCTCTCTCTCTCTCTCTCTCTCTCTCTTCTCTCTCTCTCTCTCTCTCTCTCCTCTCCTCTTCTTTTTCTCTCTCTCTCTCTCTTCTCTCTCTCTCTCTCTCTCTCTGCAAGTATTCGTTAGGTGTGGTCCAACGAGAATCGTTCGGCTCGCGTAAGTTCCCTCCGTATCTGTCACAGCGCGGAGTAAATTACTCGCGCGGTTTTGTCGAGAGCGTGGCACAAACAATGCATAATTGGCCTCACGGCTGGAGAGAGGGAGGGGAAGAGTCGTTTCCTTATTTTCTATTTATTAATGAGATCGTGCATGCGAGGAAACGCTCGCGGCGCGCAATTGCCCATCGGGGAGTCATCGTTCCACCGATTGAGCGTGGCGCCACGATAAGCGAGCGCGATCGAGTGCACATGCGCACAACTTTTGTTCCAAGGCGTAGGCCGTTCCTCGCGTCCATCGCGTGCTTGCCCGCCACATAACCTAACTCGCGGCAGCAGCAGCTCGTCAGGCGACGCGGCCTACACACGGATTTATCGCGATAGTTTGATGCACGCGAGAACGAGATTTGATAAGCGGGCGAGCAACGGTGAGAGCCTTCCGGCCTTCGTTTCGCGCGGCTACTCACCAATACGAGTTTCGTGCTTCTCACGACTCGTCGGAGCCACCGTGCGCACTTGTGACCCGCGGCCTCGAGCGAAACACCCATTTTTGCCTCGCGACGACACGTTCTCGGGCGCGTCTCGACTTTCTTCCCGGCAGCGCGGCTGGTCCACCGCGTACGCACGCACGGCCGCCGACATGTACGTCCGCGTGACGTAGCTGTGCAACGTGCCCGGGGAACACCCGGAGCATGCAACGTTCGTTACACAACACGCTCGGCAAAGGGCGATGCCCTCCTCCTTTGAACACGTCCGAATACGTCGAGTCACTACGTCATCCACGGTTAGGCACACACAACTCGTCTTTCGTCGTCGACGATTAACGCGGCTATGTTTGGACGAATCCGTGTGCGAACTGATAACCGATAGCGACTCGGACACCTCCCCCGGCTCGCGGACTCGAGGCTTTGATCGGATCGCGAACACAAAGTTCGCACGGGTAAATAGCGCGCGGGTAGCTTTAGGGAGTTTAGTTTGCCGAAAGTTACGAAATTTGCATTTTGCGAATTACCGCGTTACAGAGGTGACCTCCCGTGACTCAAAACCCGTTCCGTTCGCGCACGGTTCGCCTTTGCGCGCGACGCGACAAGCGTCTGGCGCGTTTCTCTCTCTCTCTCTCTCTCTCTCTCTCTCTCTCTCTCTCATTTGCTTTTTGCCAGCGGCCGTTGGATTCGCATGTCATTATTCTTTTTACCTACAGCTGAAATCGAGGGTACAAGTCTCGTGAATATTCGGAACCGACAAACAGCCATTCGACGCGTCATGAAGCACGTGCGTTCGTGCGTGCGCGCGCGCGCGCGTGCGCGCGCGTACGTGAGTGCACAAGTCGGTATGGCCGTGTCGCGCTTCCACGAAGGCTGCATGGCATCGCGCGTCTCCTCGTGCCTCCTGGCTCGTAAAAATAACCTCGGAGCGGGTTTTCTGGCACACGAGAGGCAGAACCGAGCGCGGAACCTCGCGATTTCGATGAAACCGACGTCGTGAAATCGATACTCACCAGCGGATCCGTCGTCCCTGTCATGACTCCTCGCCTTCGGTCTCTTTAAAAGTCACCTGCGATATCGGAAAAAAGACCTATCGCGATCGAGCTACTTTCCCCGGCCGGGGATTCGACTGCTCCCGTGATTTCGCTTGTATCTTTCCACCGTACCCGTGCTACCGGATACTTCGGGAAACGCGCAGGCGCCACACTCGAGTTTGCCTCCGCGCATTTGCGCGCGCGCGGATGATCACACTTCTTTATCTGTGCCATTTTTCTCTCTCTCTCTCTCTCTCTCTCTCTCTCTTTTTTCCGTCGCTCTCTCATTATCGTTGTTTGGTGTTTACGTTCCTTCCCCAACCGCGGTATTTTTAATCCACGAGACAGTGGAGTTCGTACGTTGGTGGTCTCGCTCCAAGCGTGGATCGCTTGGATCACGAAGAGTTTGGGACTATAGGAGAATGGTTTTGTTCGATCCCCGCTTGCAACGGACAGATGAAAGACAAGTTGGAGATGTGAGGAGACGAATTTTTTCTCATTATTCTACATTAGCCGGCGATGTTGACTGATGATTATTATGACAGCTGATTGCGGATCAGAAGCTATATATTCATGCAACGAAGTTAACGAAGAAAGATCTTGAGTTTTAATTAACATTTTTCTTTCTATATCTCGATGGCGAATCGCTTCACATTGCTATCGAATCACACCCAGCACCCAGAGCACCAAGTACAGTTGAGGAAAATATAATAAAGATATGAAAATCAGATATTTCGATATACGAGTAGACATACATAATGAGATTACAGGGAAACATCCATTTCTATCAGCAGGTCGACCGTTCAGCAGTTCTCGATTCGAATCTATGAAAAATCGCATGACCGATGCGCGACTTGCGCGCGGAGTAACTCTACGTGCCGAGTAACGAATAACGCGCCGGCAGTTGTTGATTATCCGAGTGTCGGATTAATTATGCGCCTCGCGATTGCGGCACTTCGGTTTCGTCTGTTTACGCGGCCGACGGAATGGAAATCGGAGCGGCGTATTGCAACTGCAGCGCGAACGAAACTGTGTCACTTACGTTCGTGGTTGCAGCCATGTGAGACGAGAATGGAACTGCCGTCCTATTTCTTCTGGCGATTCCGCCGCCTGGGCTTTCAACGATGAATTCAACAAGTAGTTTTCGCGAGCAGCACTGAACGCCCTTAATTTCAGGCTATTGATAGCTTTCGGTCGGGAAGTGCGGGACAAAGTGTGATAAACACCGCGGCTGCTGATCCTCGAGCTTCCCGGTAGATTGACCGTCGTGGTAGCTCTTCAGCACACGATTCGAGATTGTCGCCGGTCGATAGTTGATGGTCCACGCGATTTGTCGATCGAGTTCTTCACCGTTGTTTTCCACCAGGCCCGATGATGATGATCACCCCGAGATTCCTGAACGCTCTTTTCTTTTGCTCTTGCGAATCGTACAGCCGATACTCAGACGGTAACACAATTAGCGCATGTAATAACAACAACAACACTTCGCAGCAGTAATAGCAGCTGTTTCACAAGAGCTACGTATGTAATATCGACCTTCCGAATTTCTTCCAAGTTTTCTGTGAAAAAACCGCTGATCGCGCGAGAGTTTACGATTCTTACGTTTGTCGGTTCAGCGGCAAAACGTCCTCGCGCAATCGTGACTTCGAAATGTCAAGGTTTCCCGACGGAACCAATAAGTAAATCTAGCCGGCGGCTTCTCTTATCCCGCCTTTTTTCCTATTTTCGTATTCGGTCCGACAGACCGCGCGACGCATCTACCGATTAGTCGGTTTTCGCGAAGGTCGTGATCGAGCGACTACCAGCTGTTACTCGTTCCCAACAGTGGTTTTCTCAATATGCCTCGTCATGGTCATGCCTCGGCGATTGCCCGTCGCTCGCTCTCACTCAACACTCGTAAACACTACTCGCTCGGCGATGAATTTGAATTCTTCGTGGCGTGCGGGTATCGCGGCGGCGGCCGCGTCTTATCGAGGCGACCGGCCGATCTAGATAGATCTATTTATCCGTTACTTCGTAATCGGGTCCAGCCGCGACGGTGCATGCGACAACCCACTACCGCTCTCGTGCCCAATTGGCCTTAATCCGATTGTCGTTAATTGCAAGCCGGTACACATTACGGCTCGCACGCCACCACCATCGCTGCGCTTAGCGATGACAATAACCGTTGGTCAGAGGATCTCTCCGCGGACTCGCGTCTTCTTTCGCCGACTGATGACGAGCAACAGGCGGTCGTTGCTCGTCGCAAGCAAGCAAGCAAGCAAGCAAGCAAGCAAGCAAGCAAGCAAGCAAGCAAACAAGTAAGCAAGCGAGCGAGTTTGTTCCCTCATGGTGGTGCGATTTTGCCCAGACATTCTATCTCTTTTGTCCCTTATCGCCCGCGTGTACTCCGCTATCTCGACGTGGTGGGTGCATGTATGCCCTACCGTATATACGCTTGGGTTCAGCAAGAGAGACGCGTCATGGCTTATCTTGCCGCACGCATGCCTCTGATCTGCGTGTTCTCAAACAAACTGCGACGGCAGACAATATAGTTGTTAATTGTCGCTAGATAGAAGCGTCGCGCGTCGAATTGAATTATTCGATCGGTCTCTGTGGAGGACACGAATTGGTTTGCTCGAATCTATCGTCGAAGCGTAGAGTCGGAAAGAGCGAGAACAAGAGAGAGAGAGAGAGAGAGAGAGAGAGACAGGGGGGAAGAGAGAAAAGCACGCGGGAAAGCTACTAACTCGTGTCTATCCGTTGAATTAAATGATTTACTCGGTCCAGTTCATACAGGTCGTGTTGCAGCTTTTTTTATAAAAATAGTTGGGAAAGGATATTCTCTCTCTCTCTCTCTCTCTCTCTTTCTCTCGGTAACTTTTACGATAAACTTTATTGTTATAATTAAAGTACATGAATTTTATTTATTACAATTTTCTCTACGCACGAAAAGCACGCGTACATTTGTTTGAGCTAATCCTCGCCTATTGGAAAAGATTGCAGCGGGAATAAGATTTCCACGTGTGTGTTTGTTTTCTGCAAATGAGATTGCTCTCATTTGCAGGAATAGTACAAAAGGCGCGCGTGTGCGTGTGTGTGTGTGTGTGTTGTGTCAACCCCCCTTTTCACTTCGATCGGGCGAGAAAGGCAATTGATCAAATAGGGTCTTAATCGTGCGCTTTCGGCGGATACAATAACGGGAACAACAAGCACGGTGCGTCAAAGGGATTTATTGCGTTTCGAAGTTAAGCTGATTGCGTTTCAGAGCGAATCGTTCGGGCTCTCTCCTGGGATATGCGCGATCTCCAGAATAATTTAGCGTTTCGAGGCTGCGCCTTTGCGCCAGTACCTGGCGCAATTTATAGAACCGTCTTTCGTCATGACGCATAAGTAAACTAATCTGTGACTGTGCCGTGTTACAATCAGACGGCGGATTGACGCGCATTGATTTAAATTGCGTATCTGGCGTATCTGGTAATCAGGGTCGCGCAACTATCAAGAGCAAATCTTTGTATTCGACGTATTCGACGCTCTGGACGAGGACGAGCTCGCTCCAGGAAGCACACACGCGGTCGGGAAGATTTGTGACTTTGGTACACAATACGCGTGTTCACGCGATACACTCCGCTGATTAAGCGGCGGCGCGAGCGATTTGGACATTTCGAGTTAATGAGCGTTCTCTCGCGCATGAGGAGACGACCATCGGCGGAAATTGCAGTTAGGAATGGCGCGAGTCGCGCTCTGCAGTTTAGCGGGAATCGAACCCGCGTGTGTTCTAACTGCTAAGATCCGGAATTGCTCAACATGTGTGCGCCACAACTTAATCAATCATAAGATTACTGGCGGATTATGCTTGATATATTATTAACGACGCGACTATCGTCGCGTCACGCATACGCCATGATTAATTCCTATGCGGGCTTCGGTTTGATTGGTAAATAGAATGGTAATTCCAACGCGATAGAAGTTTATATGGAGCGCGTTCGCGTGTCGAAAACAGTGACGGCTTTAACTGCGCCGACTCGGATTAACATGGATGAGATTGATGCTCCGAATCACTCTGATAAATAGATTCACACGGTGCGACAGCATCGAACGAGGCGTCAACTGCGTGTCAATAGTAGCGCGCTCTTAATAATTTCTCTTTTGTCGTCACCGTCGCATTTCAACGTATTTCATATCGCTTAATCGCTCGCCTTGCACCGTCTTTCTCTCTCTCTCTCTCTCTCTCTCTCTCTTTCTCTGCACATTAAATTATCTATGAACGTTATTTTCCTAATTGACGCAAGAATCGTTCCTTATCTCGCTACTCATTGCCGTCATATAGAGGCTTCCGCGTGTTTAACGAGATTTCTCGAATTGCCGTTAGAATGATAAGATAGATCGTGATGATTGCATAAGTAGAATCTACCGAGTTACATGCAAACAACCACGACCCGCATTCTTATCCTGGCCTCGTTCGCGTCCGTCGAAGGGTTCGATAAGAACGCGAATGCAAGCTGGATCTTGATGCTTTCCTCTCGACGTTTCTTTCGGAAATACCATTGATCCGGGCCAGATCCAATCGGAAAACCGGAGATTTCGAATCTGGCATATAGCTCGTACTGTTTCTCTCGGCGTCAACCTTTCACATTGTCTCTATACGTCAAGACGTCGCGCGATCGTTTAATCATCTCGAAACAGCTCGTCGCGTCGCGGCCTAAACAGATATCTATTCTCTTTCCCGTTGCGCTCCCTCGAATAAAATGATGACTTCGACTTAATGCGTTACGCGACAAATTGCTTCGCTTTGCCTCCGCTGTGCCGTCGCGTAATCACATAAATTGTCATTGTCTTAGCCGTTCCTGTTCAACAACCGGTTGTTGCACAGCGGCGCACGAACGGCTCTCGAGTCTCCTCTCGCAGCTGTTCGATCTTCACGACTTGGCGCGGCGCATCTCGCGTCACGACGGGACGCGAGAAATCGCGCGAATTCGCTCGCTCGAGCAGAGCCGCGCCGCTCTCGAACGTCGCGGCTGGCTCGACGCGTCGTTATTCCGCGAACGTAAAGTTAATTAAAGTAATCCTCGGTTAATCGGCGTCGCCGGCGCGGCGTGGCGCGGCGCGGCGCGCTCATTATGTCGCCTTTACAAGTGCGCAGGGTGTCCGCGCCGCCGCGCCCTGCCGCTCGTCGTGATTAAAATTTAAAGCGGCGCGCACGCCATTTGCTCGGCGAAACGAGCCCCGACGAAGTATCGACCTCGTTCCCGTGTCTTTTGACTTTTTCCCACGCCCGAGTCAAAGGACGCGCTTAGTTGTCCGTTCGCTTGTTAATGTTATACGCCTTCGTTATCTCGCGTCAGATGTATTATTGAAGACGGCGCCGCGCACACTCGAGGAGGAGACGTAACGAGACTGTACGCTGCCCGGAATAATTAGTGGATCGTTGGTTCAAACGGTCCAACGGTTCAGAACGCTCATGTGAAGTCGCGTTGGATATCTGTATCTCTTCTCGTCTTCTATTCTGATCCTCGGTAAACAGATTTATATTTCAGCTGTTTATTTCCGCGCTTCGCGAAGGGGCTGAAATTCGGGGCTATTCGCGACGGAACTTATGTAGTTTATACCACGATCGTATCGAGTAATATTGGACGTTGATCGATTGGAATGGTTTTGCGATTCGACTAACGTAATCGGCAGATCAATAGTCGCAATTGATCATTCGTCATACACGTAATTGTGTGTGAATAATTCAATCGATTAATGAAACTGAATATTAATTGATGTATAGTCGATCAGATTAAAGTAACCGTCTGAAATAATTATGCAATTATAAGTATGCAATTATAATTTACTCTCGTTGTTAATTTTCATCATTTTAGTCAACATTTTAATCGACATTTCATTCGATTAATGCCCAACACTGCTTTCCAGCGGTGTTGTACAGCCTCTCAGAGCGAATCGAGAGATATTAGAATATTCATTCGTATCTCCGCGATTTGCGCAGAAGCATTTAAGAAGCATAGTTGTCGGAGTCTCTGTCTAATTGCAACGACACATGTATATCCACATGTTGAAAAAGATACGTTCGTACTGTAGATAGGTTGTCCCGCGGGTGATCGTTGATTATTTGTTCCACATGCTAGAGAAAAGTTTGTGTAACCTGTGGAAGTACTGCTTTTTTCACTCTTTTCTCCCGTAGCTCGTGTATTGTCGCTTTGTGCAACGGCGCTGCGCGTATCGGATGTATAAAGCTCTCTCACGTCGCGATATAGAATGACATTCGAAGCATTCCTTTGTATAACGATTCAATGAAATATCGGCATTTCAGTCTTGTGCCTTTTTTCCATTTTGTTCCGCCTCAGTCTCACCGATAGCTCATTTATCCGTTTAGAGATATATTTATTAGATTTCCTTTTTCTTTCCGGATCAAAGAATAACAAAGGGATGATGGCGAAATTAAGAGGAGAAAATAGGCAGAAATCAACATGTTTTTTTAATCAGTTTTCCTGTAGGGCGGATTACGATGAGTTTTCACAATAAGATCGTACTGAAAGACTCCACGGATACGGGGAGAAAAATCTTCCCGGTAAGATCTCCGCGCTTTCTCTTCACGGTAAATGCACGGGAGCCGGTTTGATTAAATTTACGTTGATACGAATTTGTCTCGGTCAGGTTTCAGCCAGGGAAGCGAGCGCCCCTCACGTTCGATTCTGCGGCACTATGCCCGCCGTAACGAGTGGTGCACGTCACATTATGCGGAATAAATCAGCGCCGATGCGGGATTATGTAAGACATTAATCTTTTCGAACGCCGCGCGCGCTGACGAGACGTGCGATTTTTCACCCTCTTATTGATCTTCCGACAAGAGCAATGACTTTGGACGTCTCACGGGCCTGGACGGTTACATGTTCGCCATGAAAAATTCATGAGGCGCCATGTAACACGTATGTAATACGCTTGCCGTACATAAGACACGGTTTCGCAGTAATCCCCCTCCCCCCTATCCATATCGACTTTGTGTCACATGAATCATAACTGTTGCATTTGTAAAAGAAGAGAGTCTCGTTAAATTACTTACATACAGCTGTATTCCGCCGCATCGTGCATTGCACGGTCGTGTATTCTTTCAAAAGAACATCATTTACTCGCGGTGGTGAGTGAAAGAGAAATTTTTGCAAGTTGCCATTCATAAGCACCGTAACGAGGGTGGCCGTTTTTTGCGTTGCCGTTTTTAACGTTTTTAACGGACT